GTCAGTGACTGGATGCAATCTGCTCCAAGTCATTAACTGGATGCAGTCAGTGACTGGATGCAATCTGCTCCAAGTCATTAACTGGATGCAGTCAGTGACTGGACGAGTCAGTGACTGGATTTGACCTGCTCCAAGTCAGTGACTGGATGCAATCTGCTCAGAGTCAGCGATTGGTACAATCTGCTCCAAGTCAGCAACTGGATGCAATCTGCTCCAAGTCAGCGACTGGATGCAATCTGCTCACAGTCAACGACTGGATGCAATCTGCTCCAAGTCAACGACTGGATGCAATCTGCTCCAAGTCATTAACTGGATGCAGTCAGTGACTGGATGCAATCTGCTCCAAGTGATTAACTGGATGCTGTCAATGACTGGATGCAATCTGCTCCAAGTCAATGACTGGATGCAGTCAGTGACTGGATGCAATCTGCTCCAAGTCATTAACTGGATGCAGTCAGTGACTGGACGAGTCAGTGACTGGATTCGACCTGCTCCAAGTCAGTGACTGGATGCAATCTGCTCCAAGTCAGTGACTGGATGCAATCTGCTCACAGTCAACGACTGGATGCAATCTGCTCCTAGTCATTAACTGGATGCAGTCAGTGACTGGATGCAATCTGCTCCAAGTCAGTGCCTGGATGTAGTCAATGACTGGATTCGACCTGCTCCAAGTCAATGACTGGATGCAATTTGCTCCAAGTCAGCGACTGGATGCAATCTGCTCCAAGTCAGTGACTGGATGTAGTCAATCACTGGATTCGACCTGCTCCAAGTCAACGACTGGATGCAATCTGCTCCAAGTCAACGAGTGGATGCAATCTGCTCCAAGTCATTAACTGGATGCAGTGAGTGACTGGATGCAATCTGCTCCAAGTGATTAACTGGATGCTGTCAATGACTGGATGCAATCTGCTCCAAGTCATTAACTGGATGCAGTCAGTGACTGGATGCAATCTGCTCCAAGTCATTAACTGGATGCAGTCAGTGACTGGATGCAATCTGCTCCAAGTCATTAACTAGATGCAGTCAGTAACTGGACGAGTCAGTGACTGGATTCGACCTGCTCCAAGTCAGTGACTGGATGCAATCTGCTCCAAGTCAGCGATTGGTACAATCTGCTCCAAGTCAGCAACTGGATGCAATCTGCTCCAAGTCAGCGACTGGATGCAATCTGCTCACAGTCAACGACTGGATGCAATCTGCTCCTAGTCATTAACTGGATGCAGTCACTGACTGGATGCAATCTGCTCCAAGTCAATGACTGGATGCAATCTGCTCCAAGTCATTAACTGGATGCAGTCAGTGACTGGATACAATCTGCTCCAAGTTAGTGACTGGATGAAATCTGCTCCAAGTGATTAACTGGATGCTGTCAATGACTGGATGCAATCTGCTCCAAGTCAATGACTGGATGCAATCTGCTCCAAGTCAATGACTGGATGTAATCTGCTCCAAGTCAGCGACTGGATGCAATCTGCTCCAAGTGATTAACTGAATGCAGTCAATGACTGGATGCGATATGCTCCAAGTCAGTGACTGGATGCAGTCTGCTCCAAGTCAATGACTGGATGCAATCTGCGCCAAGTGATTAACTGAATGCAGTCAATGACTGGATGCGATGTGCTCCAAGTCACTGACTGGATGCAATCTGCTCCAAGTCAATGACTGGATGCAATCTGCTCCAAGTGATTAACTGAATGCAGTCAGTGACTGAATGTGATCTGCTCAAAGGCAACGACTGGATGCAATCTGCTCCAAGTCAGCGACTGGATGCGAACTGCTCCAAGTCAATGACTGGATGCAATCTGCTCCAAGTCAGTGACTGGATGCAATCTGCTCCAGGTCAGCGACTGGATGCCATCTGCTCCAAGTCAGTGACTGGATGCCATCTGCTCCAAGTCAGCGACTGCATGCAATCTGCTCCAAATCAGTGACTGGATATAATCTGCTCCAAGTCAGTGACTGGATGCAATCTGCTCCAAGTCAGTGACTGGATGCAATCTGCTGCAAGTCAGCGAATGGATGCAATCTGCTCCAAGTCAGAGACTGGATGCAATCTGCTCCAAGTCAGTGACTGGATGCAATCTGCTCCAAGTAATTAACTGAATGCAGTCAATGACTGGATGCGATGTGCTCCAAGTCAGTGACTGGCTGCAATCTGCTCCAAGTCAATGACTGGATGCAATCTGCTCCAAGTCAGTAACTGGATGCAATCTGCTCCAAGTGATTAACTGAATGCAGTCAATGACTGAATGCGATCTGCTCCCAGTGAACGACTGGATGCAATCTGCTCCAAGTCAGCGACTGGATGCGAACTGCTCCAAGTCAATGACTGGATGCAATCTGCTCCAAGTCAGTGACTGGATGCAATCTGCTCCAGGTCAGCGACTGGATGCCATCTGCTCCAATTCAGTGACTGGATGCCATCTGCTCCAAGTCAGCAACTGTATGCAATCTGCTCCAAATCAGTGACTGGATGCAATCTGCTCCAAGTCAGTGACTGGATGCAATCTGCTCCAAGTCAGCGAATGGATGCAATCTGCTCCAAGTGATTAACTGAATGCAGTCAATACTGAATGCGGTCTGCTCCAAGTCAACGACTGGATGCAATCTGCTCTAAGTCAGCGACTGGATGCGAACTGCTCCAAGTCAATGACTGGATGCAATCTGCTCCAAGTCAGTGACTGGATGCAATCTGCTCCAGGTCAGCGATTGGATGCCATCTGCTCCAAGTCAGTGACTGGATGCCATCTGCTCCAAGTCAGCGACTGCATGCAATCTGCTCCAAATCAGTGACTGGATGCAATCTGCTCCAAGTCAGTGACTGGATGCAATCTGCTCCAAGTCAGTGACTGGATGCAATCTGCTTCAAGTCAGCGAATGGATGCAATCTGCTCCAAGTCAGCGACTGGATGCAATCTGCTCCAAGTCAGTGACTGGATGCAATCTGCTCCAAGTAATTAACTGAATGCAGTCAATGACTGGATGCGATGTGCTCCAAGTCAGTGACTGGATGCAATCTGCTCCAAGTCAATGACTGGATGCAATCTGCTCCAAGTCAGTAACTGGATGCAATCTGCTCCAAGTGATTAACTGAATGCAGTCAATGACTGAATGCGATCTGCTCCCAGTGAACAACTGGATGCAATCTGCTCCAAGTCAGCGACTGGATACGAACTGCTCCAAGTCAATGACTGGATGCAATCTGCTCCAAGTCAGTGACTGGATGCAATCTGCTCCAGGTCAGCGACTGGATGCCATCTGCTCCAAGTCAGTCACTGGATGCCATCTGCTCCAAGTCAGCGACTGTATGCAATCTGCTCCAAATCAGTGACTGGATGCAATCTGCTCCAAGTCAGTGACTGGATGCAATCTGCTCCAAGTCAGCGAATGGATGCAATCTGCTCCAAGTCAGCGACTGGATGCAATCTGCTCCAAGTCAGTGACTGGATGCAATCTGCTCCAAGTAATTAACTGAATGCAGTCAATGACTGGATGCGATCTGCTCCAAGTCAGTGACTGGATGCAATCTGCTCCAAGTCAGTGACTGGATGCAATCTGCTCCAAGTCAGCGAATGGATGCAATCTGCTCCAAGTCAGCGACTGGATGCAATCTGCTCCAAGTCAGTGACTGGATGCAATCTGCTCCAAGTAATTAACTGAATGCAGTCAATGACTGGATGCGATCTGCTCCAAGTCAGTGACTGGATGCAATCTGCTCCAAGTCAACGACTGGATGCAATCTGCTCTAAGTCAGCGACTGGATGCGAACTGCTCCAAGTCAATGACTGGAGGCAATCTGCTCCAAGTCAGTGACTGGATGCCATCTGCTCCAAGTCAGTGACTGGCTGCCATCTGCTCCAAGTCAGTGACTGTATGCAATCTGCTCCATGTCAGTGACTGGATGCAATCTGCTCCAAGTCAGCGAACGGATGCAATCTGCTCCAAGTCAGCGACTGGATGCAATCTGCTCCAAGTCAGTGACTGGATGCAATCTGCTCCAAGTAATTAACTGAATGCAGTCAATGACTGGATGCGATCTGCTCCAAGTCAGTGACTGGATGCAATCTGCTTCAAGTCAGTGACTGGTTGCAATCTGCTCCAAGTCAGTAACTGGATGCAATCTGCTACAAGTTAATCACTGGATGCGATCTGCCCCAAGTCAGTGACTGGATGCAATCTGCTCCAAGTAATTAACTGAATGCAGTCAATGACTGGATGCGATCTGCTCCAAGTCAGTGACTGGATGCAATCTGCTTCAAGTCAGTGACTGGTTGCAATCTGCTCCAAGTCAGCAACTGGATGCAATCTGCTACAAGTTAATCACTGGATGCAATATGCTACAAGTTAATCACTGGATGCAATCTGCTTCAAGTAATTAACTGAATGCATTCAATGACTGGATGCAATCTGCTCCAAGTCAGTGACTGGATGCAATCTGCTCCAAGTCAGCGACTGGATGCAATCTGCTCCAAGTCGGTGACTAGATCTGACATGCTCCAAGTCAACGACTGGATGCAATCTGCTCCAAGTCAACGACTGGATGCAATCTGCTCCCAGTCAGCGACTGGATCTGCTACAAGTTAATCACTGGATGCATGCTGATCCAAGTCAAGGACTGAATAGAATCTGCTCCAAGTCAGTGAATCAATGCAATGTGCAAGTCATTGACAGGGTTCATGTTTATGTAACCTCCTAATATTCATTTTTTCCATCACTGTCTCCTAACCTGCATTTTCCTCTATAGTTTTTTCCCACAGGCACCAACAGCAGTAAATTCTGTAGCTCCTGCTGGAGGAAGTTAGAAACGGACGTTAATGTCTCGCTAGGTTTAGGGTCTTTGATTGACCTGGTGACGTTCCTTCCCAAAGCCAATTTACAGTAAAAGCTTTTAATTCAAAAGCACTAAATTTAACATTGTGCTTCTCATACCGACGAGTCGTTACTTAAAACCTTTATCATCGTTTTAAACTGCTAGCTCATTACCTGAGTCTAAGCAGGTGCGTGCTGGTTGGTGAACACACCTAGTTTCACCTTTAAAACGCGTTCTAAGTTGCTCTTTCTGGTCACCACAGTTTCATGTGGCACAGAGGTCAAGGAAAATCACGTCTGCTCCAGAGAGGGGTCTACAACTGTAGCCGGTCAGCGGCTCGGTGGAGGGACCAGGCGAGGGAGGAAACGGCCCTTAGTGGAGGGTAACAATGGCCGACCCCCCCACAGCTACTGGCCCAAGAAGAATAAGAGAGTCTCAGAGACCGTTGCGCCCAAGAACGCCCTGATGCAGCTGAATGAGATGAAGCCGGGGCTTCAGTACCAGCTGCTCTCTCAGTCCGGGCCAGTCCATGCGCCGGTGTTTGTGATGAGCGTGGAGGTCAATGGGCAGCTCTTCAACGGCTCCGGCCCGACTAAGAAGAAGGCCAAGCTGAACGCTGCAGAGAAGGCCCTGCGTTCCTTCGTCAGGATCCCCAATGCACCCAAAGCCCAGGTGTCCAGGGTTCGGACTCAGGCCCTTCAACCAGACTTTACCTCAGACCTAGAGGGCGTTCCTGATGTGCTCTTCAATGCCTTTGAGACCTCCAGGGCTTTAGACAGTCCATCTTACCCGGCCTTTGACCGTAGCAGTTCCTTCAAATCTCAGCCAGCGCTATCCCCCCCTACCTCAAACCTACCCCAGCGTCCCAACCCCCCCACGCCACCTGCCCTCAGCTCTGCCACAAGTAGCAAGAACCCTGTGATGACTCTGAACGAGCTGAGGCCAGGACTCAAATATGACTTTGTGTCAGAGAGCGGAGAGAGCCATTCCAAGAACTTTGTCATGTTGGTGAGAGTGGACGGTCAGAAGTTCCAGGGTTCTGGGCGCAACAAGAGGCTGGCCAAGGCGCGGGCCGCCCAGGCAGCTCTGTCCTCTCTCTTCCACCTCCAGCTGGAAGAGGCGCCGTCCAGACGGCCCATACCGAGAGACGGACTGCAGCTTCATCTACCACAGGTGAGCAGAGTACACTTAGCTTTACCATCCAGGTGTGCCTGGAAGGAACCGCTTTACCGGACGCTCCTCTCCCGCCTAGTCCGTGTCAGGGTCACGGTGGGGCCGGGTGCCTGTATGCGGCAGTCTATGGGCGAGAGGCGGGGTACAACCTGGGCAGGTCGCCAGGCTGAGGCAGTCCTGATACCATATGTTAGGCAATTTTACCTCCTTGATTATGAATATAGATTAGAGTTAGAAGATTAAATGATAATTTATAATCTATCATGTTAATCACAGGCAAAGTGTCTCAAATTATTGTGATTAACAGCTATTAATTATAATCAACTTTCAACAGTTTTAACCAACAATTATTAACTTTTTTCCTCATGGAGTGGACATTTAATCAGTTGGGACCAATTCTACTTTGATTGACATATCTTTAGCCAATAAGATAAGACAGTATTGGAAGTGTAGGGGCGGGCTTAAAAGATAGCGATTAATGATGTGCGGTATAACAGAGTATTAGGGCCAGAGTTGTCCTAAAATATAACTTTTTTCTTACAATATTACGACTTTATTCTCGTAATTTATTACTTTATTCTCGTAATTTTATAACTATTCTTTTTGCGAATTTTATTCTTATAATTTTCAAGACTTTACTCTCGAAATAAGAAGCAACTCTCTAGCCTGGCTCTAATACGCATTATTAGCAACATTTTGAAGGCTAAAAATGTATTTTTTAATTATAACAGGAAGTGCTTAAATGAAGGTTTGCGTATAGCTCTATGTAGAAATGTGATTTTATTGTCAAATTAGTCATAAAATTGGAATAATCCACTTTTGGTCCTATTTGGATCAATTGTCACATTTTGACAAAGTTTATGACTAAAGATCTAAAATTTTACACACCTGTTTTCGGCAACACGAACAGAAAGCTTAATTACATTACACTGATTTAAAATTCTATGCCAGAGAAACAAATATTATTCTGGACCTGTTTGAAGCCATGTAGCTTAAGTCGTGTAAAAGTAAATGATTTTGCACCTTTATCTCCAGAAAGTAGAATTTCTCAGCTTTCAAATGCGATGCATCACAGTCATGTGGGATTTATATTTTTCAGTGGAGATGTTTAGCGTAGTGGAAGTCTATTTTCGCATAAACTGAAGTCTCTGCACACTGGTAGCTAAGATGCAATTTTCATTAGCCTCCCCACCATCGCTGAGTGCTTTCTTAAAGCTGTTCCACATTAAAGCGCCTCTCCGAACTCTCTGCGTCGTTTACACCAGGGTTCGCATCCGAATTCCAGGCAGATGAGCGGAAGGTTTAGCATTTTATTTCACTTTCTGTCGACCTGATGAGACGCTACATGCTAACGGCTCTGATGCTCTGGAAGCTTTGTTTCTGATTCCGTCGCCAGGTTCTGGCCGACGCCGTCTCTCGTTTGGTTATGGAAAAGTTCGGCCAACTCACCAACAACTTCTCCTCTCCGCATGCTCAAAGAAAAGTTTTGGCGGGTGTCGTCATGACAACAGGTAATCCATAGTGTTGTTGTTTTTTTCTCAGCAGGGTTAGGAGAACCTCATTCTGGTGGAGTTGTAAAATAAATTAACAAATTTTTGCAACCAAAGAGACCAAAAGAAATCATCTTGAATCAGATTTTTTTCTCTCTTTATTGGGTATTTAACACGGGGCAAAGGTGCATTCAGACCAAACAAGGTGTGCACGGTGAAGCTAAAGAGAAAATAACGTTAGTAAAGGTAGAGATAAGAAATGCCCTGCAGAGGTCTGTTTTAATTTAGTCTTAGAAGGACCGTTCATCCTCCTTCATCTCCAGCACAGAGCTGGGTCTGTCACTGTCTGCTGCCCAGCATCGGGGCTTTCTCAGGGGGGAAGATCAACCAGGAAGTCCCGCTGATTCACAGCTGCGTCTGGATGAACCAAAGTGCATCTTTTTCCCAAAAACTGATGGTCTCCCCATGGAGATTCAAAAGTTGTTCAGAGATAACAATTTACCAGCAGATGTTAAGGTTCACCTGTGCTTTTATTGTGAAATGCTGACAGGAAATGACATGGGGTTGTCAGGGGTAACGGCAGATCCAAAGCAGAGGGTCTGGGAAGCTGGAGATGAACTAAATATTAAGCAATCATTCCAGGCACTAAATAAGGTCAACATGGCCGCTGTTATATTCAGGAAACGATGTGGTGTCTTCCATAACCAGCGCAGTGCTAACATCTGCTGCGGTGGAGCTGCTCGGCTCAGGGTTGGAGACGTGTGGAGAGTTGAGGACACGGAGGGGACTGGTGTGAAGGGAGTCAAACCAGGTGTAAAACCTGTTTAACTGGGTGTCTCTGTCTCTAGCCCTGCTGCTGGTCCTCTGCCCAAATATGGCAGGTCCCCAATCCCGCCAAAACCACTGCTAGCATTGTTAGCGCCGCTTTCCCCTCCGGAGACCATGGCTGGTTTGCCAAATCGCTTTGAAACCAAATGATAGTCTTTCTCCATAGCTTCTCTAAACTCCTCCCAGGTCTGAGTTTTGCACGTACAAACACGGGTCCAAATGTCCAGGAAGCAGAACACTGTTAATAAGAACTTAAATCCAAAAAGTAATAAAAGAAATGCCAAGAATGTTAACGACAGTAAAGAACCCAGAAACAACTAGAATCCAAACACCTGACCGTAAACATCCACCTCTATCATTTCTGTCAGAAGGAATGGGCCCAGATCCGCCTGTTTATTAGGAAATACATGAAATACATGAATTATTAAAAATGAAATCATTTGAACGTCTTTGTCAACATGTTGTCATCCACGGTTTTCATTTTCCCCATCCAGGAAGTGATGTGAAGGAGGTACAGGTGGTCTGTGTTACCACGGGAACAAAGTGTATCAACGGCGAATACATGAGTGAGGGCGGACTAGCCCTGAATGACTGCCATGCTGAGATTCTAGCTCGCCGCTCCCTCATCAGGTTCCTGTACTCTCAGCTGGAGCTCTTCCTCAGGTGACTGCTGCAGAGTAGAAGAAGAAGAAGAAGCTAAAAATCACGATCCCTGAAGGTACCAGATCTGCTCAGGCTCCTGCTGATGACGTCATCATACAGTAGTAGCCATTCTAAATGTCCCCTTTCCTTCAAGGGTCCTTGGCTGGTCCTTGATTGGTCCTTGGTTGGTCCTTGATTGGTCCTCGGCCAGTCCTTGGCTGATCCTTGATGGCCCTTGACTGGTCCTTGATGGCCCTTGATTGGTCCTTGATGGCCCTGGTTGGTCCTTGGCTGGTCCTTGATGGACCTTGACTGGACCTTGGCTGGTCCTCGGTCAGTCCTTGGCTGATCCTTGATGGCCCTTGGTTGGTCCTTGGTTGGTCCTTAATTGGTCCTTGATTGGTCCTCTGTCAGTCCTTGGCTGACCCCTTGATGGTCCTTGGTTGGTCCTTGATGGCCCTTGACTGGTCCTCAGTCAGTCCTTGGCTGATCCTTGATGGCCCTTGGTTGGTCCTTGGCTGATTCTTGATGGCCCTTGGTTGATCCTTGGCTGGTCCTTGATGGCCCTTGGTTGATCCTTGGCTGGTCCTTGATGGCCCTTGGTTGGTCCTTGATGGCCCTTGGTTGGTCCTTGATCGCCCTTGGTTGGTCCTTGGCTGGTCCTTGATGGCCCTTGGTTGGTCTTTGGCTGGTCCTTGATTGGTCCTTGGCTGGTCCTTGATGGCCCTTGATTGGTCCTTGATGGCCCTGGTTGGTCCTTGGCTGGTCCTTGATGGACCTTGGCTGGTCCTCGGTCAGTCCTTGGCTGGTCCTTGACTGGTCCTTAATGGTCCTTGGTTGGTCCTTGACTGGTCCTTAATGGCCCTTGGTTGGTCCTTGGGTAGTCCTTCGTTGGCCCTTGGCTGGTCCTTGATGACCCTTGGTTGGTCCTTGATGACCCTTGGTTGGTCCTTGGGTAGTCCTTGGTTAGTCCTTGGCTGGTCCTTGATGGCCCTTGGTTGGTCCTTGGGTAGTCCTTGGTTGGCCCTTGGCTGGTCCTTGACTGGTCCTTAATGGTCCTTGGTTGGTCCTTGACTGGTCCTTAATGGCCCTTTGTTGGTCCTTGGGTAGTCCTTCGTTGGCCCTTGGCTGGTCCTTGATGACCCTTGGTTGGTCCTTGATGACCCTTGGTTGGTCCTTGGGTAGTCCTTGGTTGGTCCTTGGCTGGTCCTTGATGGCCCTTGGTTGGTCCTTGGGTAGTCCTTGGTTGGCCCTTGGCTGGTCCTTGATGACCCTTGGTTGGTCCTTGGTTGGTCCTTGATGGCCCTTGGTTGGTCCTTGGGTAGTCCTTGGTTGGCCCTTGGCTGGTCCTTGATGACCCTTGGTTGGTCCTTGATGGCCCTTGGTTGGTCCTTGGGTAGTCCTTGGTTGGCCCTTGGCTGGTCCTTGATGACCCTTGGTTGGTCCTTGGGTAGTCCTTGGTTGGCCCTTGGCTGGTCCTTGATGACCCTTGGCTGGTCCTTGATGGCCCTTGGCTGGTCCTTGATGGCCCTTGGTTGGTCCTTGATGGCCCTTGGCTGGTCCTTGATGACCCTTGGTTGGTCCTTGATGACCCTTGGCTGGTCCTTGATGACCCTTGGTTGGTCCTTGATGACCCTTGGCTGGTCCTTGATGACCCTTGGTTGGTCCTTGATGACCCTTGGTTGGTCCTTGATGACCCTTGGCTGGTCCTTGATGACCCTTGGTTGGTCCTTGATGACCCTTGGTTGGTCCTTGATGACCCTTGGTTGGTCCTTGATGACCCTTGGCTGGTCCTTGATGACCCTTGGTCGGTCCTTGATGACCCTTGGTTGGTCCTTGATGACCCTTGGCTGGTCCTTGATGACCCTTGGTTGGTCCTTGATGACCCTTGGTTGGTCCTTGATGACCCTTGGCTGGTCCTTGATGACCCTTGGCCAGTCCTTGATGACCCTTGGCTGGTCCTTGATGACCCTTGGCTGGTCCTTGATGACCCTTGGTTGGTCCTTGATGACCCTTGGCTGGTCCTTGATGACCCTTGGTTGGTCCTTGATGACCCTTGGCTGGTCCTTGATGAGCCTTGGCTGGTCCTTGATGACCCTTGGTTGGTCCTTGATGACCCTTGGCTGGTCCTTGATGACCCTTGGTTGGTCCTTGATGACCCTTGGTCAGTCCTTGGTTGGTCCTTGATGACCCTTGGTTGGTCCTTGATGACCCTTGGCTGGTCCTTGATGACCCTTGGTTGGTCCTTGATGACCCTTGGCTGGTCCTTGATGACCCTTGGTTGGTCCTTGATGACCCTTGGTTGGTCCTTGATGACCCTTGGTCAGTCCTTGGTCAGTCCTTGGTTGGTCCTTGATGACCCTTGGTTGGTCCTTGATGACCCTTGGCTGGTCCTTGATGACCCTTGGTTGGTCCTTGATGACCCTTGGTCAGTCCTTGGTCAGTCCTTGGTTGGTCCTTGATGACCCTTGGTTGGTCCTTGATGACCCTTGGCTGGTCCTTGATGACCCTTGGTTGGTCCTTGATGACCCTTGGTCAGTCCTTGGTCAGTCCTTGGTTGGTCCTTGATGACCCTTGGTTGGTCCTTGATGACCCTTGGTTGGTCCTTGATGACCCTTGGTCAGTCCTTGGTTGGTCCTTGATGACCCTTGGTTGGTCCTTGATGACCCTTGGCTGGTCCTTGATGACCCTTGGTTGGTCCTTGATGACCCTTGGTCAGTCCTTGGTTGGTCCTTGATGACCCTTGGTTGGTCCTTGATGACCCTTGGCTGGTCCTTGATGACCCTTGGTTGGTCCTTGATGACCCTTGGCTGGTCCTTGATGACCCTTGGTTGGTCCTTGATGACCCTTGGTTGGTCCTTGATGACCCTTGGTCAGTCCTTGGTCAGTCCTTGGTTGGTCCTTGATGACCCTTGGTTGGTCCTTGATGGCCCTTGGCTGGTCCTTGATGACCCTTGGTTGGTCCTTGATGACCCTTGGCTGGTCCTTGATGACCCTTGGTTGGTCCTTGATGACCCTTGGTCAGTCCTTGGTCAGTCCTTGGTTGGTCCTTGATGACCCTTGGTTGGTCCTTGATGACCCTTGGCTGGTCCTTGATGACCGTTGGTTGGTCCTTGATGACCCTTGGTCAGTCCTTGGTCAGTCCTTGGTTGGTCCTTGATGACCCTTGGTTGGTCCTTGATGACCCTTGGTTGGTCCTTGATGACCTTTGGCTGGTCCTTGATGACCCTTGGTTGGTCCTTGATGACCCTTGGCTGGTCCTTGATGACCCTTGGTTGGTCCTTGATGACCCTTGGTTGGTCCTTGATCAGTCCTTGGTTGGTCCTTGATGACCCTTGGTTGGTCCTTGATGACCCTTGGCTGGTCCTTGATGACCCTTGGTTGGTCCTTGATGACCCTTGGTCAGTCCTTGGTCAGTCCTTGGTTGGTCCTTGATGACCCTTGGTTGGTCCTTGATGACCCTTGGCTGGTCCTTGATGACCCTTGGTTGGTCCTTGATGACCCTTGGTCAGTCCTTGGTCAGTCCTTGGTTGGTCCTTGATGACCCTTGGTTGGTCCTTGATGACCCTTGGTCAGACCCTTGGCTGGTCCTTGATGACCCTTGGTTGGTCCTTGATGACCCTTGGCTGGTCCTTGATGACCCTTGGCTGGTCCTTGATGACCCTTGGCTGGTCCTTGATGACCCTTGGTCAGTCCTTGGTCAGTCCTTGGTTGGTCCTTGATGACCCTTGGTTGGTCCTTGATGACCCTTGGCTGGTCCTTGATGACCCTTGGTTGGTCCTTGATGACCCTTGGTCAGTCCTTGGTCAGTCCTTGGTTGGTCCTTGATGACCCTTGGTTGGTCCTTGATGACCCTTGGTTGGTCCTTGATGACCCTTGGTCAGTCCTTGGTCAGTCCTTGGTTGGTCCTTGATGACCCTTGGTTGGTCCTTGATGACCCTTGGTTCTTCCTTGATGACCCTTGGTCAGTCCTTGGTCAGTCCTTGGTTGGTCCTTGATGACCCTTGGTTGGTCCTTGATGACCCTTGGTTGGTCCTTGATGACCCTTGGTCAGTCCTTGGTCAGTCCTTGGTTGGTCCTTGATGACCCTTGGTTGGTCCTTGATGACCCTTGGTCAGCCCTTGGTCAGTCCTTGGTTGGTCCTTGATGACCCTTGGTTGGTCCTTGATGACCCTTGGTCAGTCCTTGGTCAGTCCTTGGTTGGTCCTTGATGACCCTTGGTTGGTCCTTGATGACCCTTGGTTGGTCCTTGATGACCCTTGGTCAGTCCTTGGTCAGTCCTTGGTTGGTCCTTGATGACCCTTGGCTGGTCCTTGATGACCCTTGGTTGGTCCTTGATGACCCTTGGTCAGTCCTTGGTCAGTCCTTGGTTGGTCCTTGGTTGGTCCTTGATGACCCTTGGTTGGTCCTTGATGACCCTTGGTTGGTCCTTGATGACCCTTGGTCAGTCCTTGGTTGGTCCTTGATGACCCTTGGTTGGTCCTTGATGACCCTTGGTTGGTCCTTGATGACCCTTGGTCAGTCCTTGGTCAGTCCTTGGTTGGTCCTTGATGACCCTTGGTTGGTCCTTGATGACCCTTGGTTCTTCCTTGATGACCCTTGGTCAGTCCTTGGTCAGTCCTTGGTTGGTCCTTGATGACCCTTGGTTGGTCCTTGATGACCCTTGGTTGGTCCTTGATGACCCTTGGTCAGTCCTTGGTCAGTCCTTGGTTGGTCCTTGATGACCCTTGGTTGGTCCTTGATGACCCTTGGTCAGCCCTTGGTCAGTCCTTGGTTGGTTGTTTTAAGTCTGGTCTGAAGACCCACTTTTATTCTCTGGCTTCACTGTGTGAGTTTTATGGTTCTATGTGTTGTTTGCTGTTTTAGCTGATTGTTATATTTCATTTTATTTATTGTATTTTCTTATTTTTCTCTTATAAGGTTCTCTGCTGCGGTAAATTGAAGTACACGCAAATCTTAGTTTTGTGTGCGACGCAGCAAAAAAAAGACGGAAAAAAGAAATCGACATCTGAAGCCTCAGGGCTAAGCCCCCGATCTCCTAGAATCCTAGATCCACCTCTGCTAACGCCAAAGATGCTCCCGCCTCATCACATGGACGCCGTTTCATGTTATTATGGTTGTCTGGGCAACAGCAATGTTTTACGTCATTGTGGCGATGGTCAACCGATCATATGGCGTAACGCCACCAGCAGGAAGAGAGCGGATCTGGTACCTACACTCGCCGATTCTCATGGAAGGAATCCGAGTCTTGCTGCCGTATCTGATTATTCCACCCTACGAACCACAGAAGATATGAAGCTAATCATCTCTGATGCTGATTTAATCCTCAGCACCAATGAGGAGGAACAGCACAGCTCCATCTTCACCCGCTGTGAAGACAGACGAGGCTTCAGGCTGAAAGAACAGGTCCAGTTCCACCTGTACATCAGCTCCTCCCCCTGTGGAGACGCCCGCATCTTTTCACCTCACGAAACTGCAGCTGAGGGTGAGGACAGCTTCTCAGCTCCTCGTTCAGAGGTTTTAGCTCGGCGCTCCGTTCTCCTGGTGTCTTTCCTAACAGATCCGAGCGACGGACTCCCTAATAGGAAGGCCCGTGGGCGGCTGAGGACCAAGATCCAGTCCGGTGAAGGAACCGTCCCTGTGGGCTGTGGTAGTACCGCTCAGACATGGGAGGGCGTCCTGCAGGGTGAGAGGCTGCTCACCATGTCCTGCAGTGATAAGATGGCCAGGTACGTGCAGATCAGGACAGGCTAACTGTTGTATAACCATTCTGGGCATGTGGGCTCCTTCAGAATAAGGTATTTTTCATCTGATATTAACTTTAGTCCAAAAGCTAGGGCGCCATTTTCTTTGCAATGCTATCAATATAAAAGTGTTTTTCTCTCAGAATCCAAACAGATGAACAATGAACACCTGATCATCCTGAGCAGAACGTATGGGTGGTTTCAGGACGGCAACCTTTCAGTGAATGTTTTTCAGCTTCTTCTCTGTATTTTGATAAACCCAAAGGTGGAACGTGGTCGGACTCCAAGGCTCTTTGCTGACCTACTTCACGGAGCCCGTCTACTTCTCCAGCATCATCCTGGGCAGCCTGTACCACGCCGACCACCTGTCCAGAGCCATGTACCAGAGGCTGGCTCAGATAGAGCGTCTACCACCATCCTTCACCCTGAACAGGCCTCTGCTCAGCGGTCAGTCTGCAGACTTAGTTCACTGGAAACCTGCTAGCGATATCTGAAGGCACAGAAATGACTTTAATCGCTAAGGTAGAGAAAAAGATCATCCCCACAGCATGATGCTTCCACTACTCCAATTATTCAGGTGGGCTCTGGTCCCTGGGAAACCCTGACCCATGCTGGGTTACGGGAGACCAGTCCTGCTTTAAAGCAGATCCAAGTCCTTATTAAGTCTGGATCCACTTACTTTGCCCTCAGATTATTGTCTATTTATATCAATGACACCAGCAGGCGTTTTCCATTAACGTTCTTTAGACACATTTAGAAGTGTTATGAAATAAAGAGACCAATAAAGTTCTAACATTACAAGAATAGGCGCACAATTTTTCTTGTAAAGTTTTTAGTCTCATAAATGTTCAACTTTTTCCTTAATTTGCATGTTTCTAATCTCATAAATTTCTGTGATTTTACTCGTAAATTTGCGTGTTTATTCTCCTACATTTACTACCATGTTTGTAATCTCGTAAATTTCTGTGATTTTACTCGTAAATTTGCGTGTTTGTTCTGGTACATTTACTACCATGTTAGTAATCTCGTAAATTAGCAAATATTTTCTCGTAAATTTACATCTTTAGTCTTGTAATTTTACTACTTTTTCCTTCTAAATTTGCATGTTTCTAATCTCGTACATTTGCGTGTTTATTCTGGTACATTTACTACCATGTTTGTAATCTCGTAAATTTGCGTGTTTGTTCTGGTACATTTACTACCATGTTAGTAATCTCGTAAATTAGCAAATTTTTTCTCGTAAATTTACATCTTTAGTCTTGTAATTTTACTACTTTTTCCTTCTAAATTTGCATGTTTATTCTGGTACATTTACTACCATGTCTGTAATCTCGTAAATTTGCGTGTTTGTTCTGGTACATTTACTACCATGTTTGTAATCTCGTAAATTGGCGTGTTTTTTCTGGTACATTTACTACCATGTTTGTAATCTCGTAAATTTGCGTGTTTGTTCTGGTACATTTACTACCATGTTTGTAATCTCGTAAATTTCTGTGATTTTACTCGTAAATTTGCGTGTTTATTCTCCTACATTTACTACCATGTTTGTAATCTCGTAAATTTCTGTGATTTTACTCATAAATTTGCGTGTTTGTTCTGGTACATTTACTACCATGTTAGTAATCTCGTAAATTAGCAAATTTTTTCTCGTAAATTTACATCTTTAGTCTTGTAATTTTACTACTTTTTCCTTCTAAATTTGCATGTTTCTAATCTCGTACATTTGCGTGTTTATTCTGGTACATTTACTACCATGTTTGTAATCTCGTAAATTTGCGTGTTTATTCTGGTACATTTACTACCATGTTTGTAATCTTGTAAATTTGCGTGTTTGTTCTGGTACATTTACTACCATGTTAGTAATCTCGTAAATTAGCAAATTTTTTCTCGTAAATTTACGTCTTTAGTCTTGTAATTTTACTACTTTTTCCTTCTAAATTTGCATGTTTCTAATCTCGTACATTTGCGTGTTTATTTTGGTACATTTACTACCATGTTTGTAATCTCGTAAATTTGCGTGTTTATTCTGGTACATTTACTACCATGTTTGTAATCTCGTAAATTTGCGTGTTTGTTCTGGTACATTTACTACCATGTTTGTAATCTCGTAAATTGGCGGGTTTATTCTGGTACATTTACTACCATGTTTGTAATCTCGTAAATTGGCGTGTTTGTTCTGGTACATTTACTACCATGTTTGTAATCTCGTAAATTGGCGTGTTTGTTCTGGTACATTTACTACCGTTTGTAATCTCGTAAATTTGCGTGTTTATTCTGGTACATTTACTACCATGTTTGTAATCTCGTAAATTGGCGTGTTTGTTCTGGTACATTTACTACCATGTTTGTAATCTCGTAAATTTGCGTGTTTGTTCTGGTACATTTACTACCATGTTTGTAATCTCGTAAATTTGCGTGTTTATTCTGGTACATTTACTACCATGTTTGTAATCTCGTAAATTTGCGTGTTTATTCTGGTACATTTACTACCATGTTAGTAATCTCATAAATTTGCGTGTTTATTCTGGTACATTTACTACCATGTTAGTAATCTCGTAAATTTGCAAATTTTTTCTCGTAAATGTACATCTTTAGTCTTGTAATTTTACTACTTTTTCCTTCTAAATTTGCATGTTTCTAATCTCGTAAATTTGGGTGTTTATTCTGGTACATTTACTACCATGTTTGTAATCTCGTAAATTTGCGTGTTTATTCTGGTACATTTACTACCATGTTTGTAATCTCGTAAATTTGCGTGTTTATTCTGGTACATTTACTACCATGTTAGTAATCTCATAAATTTGCGTGTTTATTCTGGTACATTTACTACCATGTTAGTAATCTCGTAAATTTGCAAATTTTTTCTCGTAAATGTACATCTTTAGTCTTGTAATTTTACTACTTTTTCCTTCTAAATTTGCATGTTTCTAATCTCGTAAATTTGCGTGTTTATTCTGGTACATTTACTACCATGTTAGTAATCTCGTAAATTTGCGTGTTTGTTCTGGTACATTTACTACCATGTTAGTAATCTCATAAATTTGCGTGTTTATTCTGGTACATTTACTACCATGTTTGTAATCTCGTAAATTTGCGTGTTTATTCTGGTACATTTACTACCATGTTAGTAATCTCATAAATTTGCGTGTTTATTCTGGTACATTTACTACCATGTTAGTAATCTCGTAAATTTGCTAATTTTTTCTCGTAAATGTACATCTTTAGTCTTGTAATTTTACTACTTTTTCCTTCTAAATTTGCATGTTTCTAATCTCGTAAATTTGCGTGTTTATTCTGGTACATTTACTACCATGTTAGTAATCTCGTAAATTTGCGTGTTTGTTCTGGTACATTTACTACCATGTTAGTAATCTCATAAATTTGCGTGTTTATTCTGGTACATTTACTACCATGTTAGTAATCTCATAAATTTGCGTGTTTATTCTGGTACATTTACTACCATGTTAGTAATCTCGTAAATTTGCAAATTTTTTCTCGTAAATTTACATCTTTAGTCTTGTAATTTTACTACTTTTTCCTTCTAAATTTGCATGTTTCTAATCTCGTACATTTGCGTGTTTATTCTGGTACATTTACTACCATGTTTGTAATCTCGTAAATTTGCGTGTTTATTCTGGTACATTTACTACCATGTTAGTAATCTCGTAAATTAGCAAATATTTTCTCGTAAATTTACATCTTTAGTCTTGTAATTTTACTACTTTTTCCTTCTAAATTTGCATGTTTCTAATCTCGTACATTTGCGTGTTTATTCTGGTACATTTACTACCATGTTTGTAATCTCGTAAATTTGCGTGTTTGTTCTGGTACATTTACTACCATGTTAGTAATCTCGTAAATTAGCAAATTTTTTCTCGTAAATTTACTACCATGTTAGTAATCTCATAAATTTGCGTGTTTATTCTGGTACATTTACTACCATGTTTGTAATCTCGTAAATTTGCGTGTTTATTCTGGTACATTTACTACCATGTTTGTAATCTCGTAAATTTGCGTGTTTGTTCTGGTACATTTACTACCATGTTTGTAATCTCGTAAATTGGCGTGTTTATTCTGGTACATTTACTACCATGTTTGTAATCTCGTAAATTGGCGTGTTTGTTCTGGTACATTTACTACCGTTTGTAATCTCGTAAATTTGCGTGTTTATTCTCCTACATTTACTACCATGTTTGTAATCTCGTAAATTTCTGTGATTTTACTCATAAATTTGCGTGTTTGTTCTGGTACATTTACTACCATGTTAGTAATCTCGTAAATTAGCAAATTTTTTCTCGTAAATTTACATCTTTAGTCTTGTAATTTTACTACTTTTTCCTTCTAAATTTGCATGTTTCTAATCTCGTACATTTGCGTGTTTATTCTGGTACATTTACTACCATGTTTGTAATCTCGTAAATTTGCGTGTTTATTCTGGTACATTTACTACCATGTTTGTAATCTTGTAAATTTGCGTGTTTGTTCTGGTACATTTACTACCATGTTAGTAATCTCGTAAATTAGCAAATTTTTTCTCGTAAATTTACGTCTTTAGTCTTGTAATTTTACTACTTTTTCCTTCTAAATTTGCATGTTTCTAATCTCGTACATTTGCGTGTTTATTTTGGTACATTTACTACCATGTTTGTAATCTCGTAAATTTGCGTGTTTATTCTGGTACATTTACTACCATGTTTGTAATCTCGTAAATTTGCGTGTTTGTTCTGGTACATTTACTACCATGTTTGTAATCTCGTAAATTGGCGGGTTTATTCTGGTACATTTACTACCATGTTTGTAATCTCGTAAATTGGCGTGTTTGTTCTGGTACATTTACTACCATGTTTGTAATCTCGTAAATTGGCGTGTTTGTTCTGGTACATTTACTACCGTTTGTAATCTCGTAAATTTGCGTGTTTATTCTGGTACATTTACTACCATGTTTGTAATCTCGTAAATTGGCGTGTTTGTTCTGGTACATTTACTACCATGTTTGTAATCTCGTAAATTTGCGTGTTTGTTCTGGTACATTTACTACCATGTTTGTAATCTCGTAAATTTGCGTGTTTGTTCTGGTACATTTACTACCATGTTTGTAATCTCGTAAATTTGCGTGTTTGTTCCGGTACATTTACTACCATGTTAGTAATCTCGTAAATTTGCGTGTTTATTCTGGTACATTTACTACCATGTTTGTAATCTCGTAAATTTGCAAATTTTTTCTCGTAAATTTACATCTTTAGTCTTGTAATTTTACTACTTTTTCCTTCTAAATTTGCATGTTTCTAATCTCGTAAATTTGGGTGTTTATTCTGGTACATTTACTACCATGTTTGTAATCTCGTAAATTAGCTATTTTTTTCTTGTAAATTTACATCTTTAGTCTTGCGATTTTGCTACATTTTTCTTTTTAGTCTAATAGGTGTTCAACTTTTTCCTTCTAAATTTGCATGTTTCTAATCTCGTAAATTTCTGTGATTTTACTCGTAAATTTGGGTGTTTATTCTCGTACATTTACTACCATGTTTGTAATCTTGTAAATCTGAACATTTTTTCTCGTAACTTTACATCTCGTCTTGTAATTTTACTACATTTTTCTTCTAAATTTCTGTGCTTAAAATCTCATAAATTTGCTTCTAAATTTGTGTTTTTAGTCTCATGGATTTTAAACTTTTTTTTCCAAAGTCTTCATGTTTATAACATGAATCTGGGAGATTCCCTCCTTTTTTCCTTCTATAAATTCGTAAAGTTCTGCGTTATTTCACCTAAATTTGCGTGTTTGTTTTCATACATCCGCCACTTTGAACTCCAAAGTTGTTTTGGTCTTTGAAAGGCCCTAATGCGCAGACTGTGACCAATACTCTGTGGTTCAGGCAAACTGTAGGTTGGTCTGTCTCAGTGTTTTAGACCCTCAGCTGTACGTGAGACCAACCAGAACCAACCAGACCTTGATGCTCTGCAGGAATTAGCAACACAGAGGCTCGTCAGCCCGGAAAGGCACCGAGCTTCAGTGTGAACTGGACTGTTGGAGACCAAGGTCTGGAGGTGATTAACGGCAACACGGGGAAGGACGACGGAGGTGGACCTTCCAGACTCTGCAAGAAAGCTCTATATGTCCGCTGGATGGACTTACACAGCAAGGTAAAGTCCAGGGAAAGCCAGACGGACCTCTGTGTGAGCAGAACCTGGGAAATGACTGGACAGACTCACATGGTCTCTCTGTGTGTTATACAGCTGAGCTCCACCCTGCGCATCCAAACGCTGAAGCCTGGGAGCTACCATGAGGCCAAGCAGGTGGCGGTGGAGTACCATGAGGCTAAGCAGACCCTCTTCAGAGCCTTCCACAAGGCCGGACTGGGATCCTGGGTCAGCAAACCAGTAGAGCAGGACCAGTTTTCCCTCAGTAACCAATCAGGAGCTGGTCCTCAATCTTTCCCTGGTGATTGGTTATAGACCGGATACTTCACTGTTCACTGTTTTCCATAGAAGATAGAGGCAACAAATCCATCTGATCGACATTTAGGGGCTCGGTTCTCCGCCTTGGATGTTCAGATTCATGTACGCCTCCTCAGCTTGATCGCCTTATTATCATTCACGCCCCTCCTAGATGCATAATAGAGATAGAATGAAGCAGAATGAGGAAAAAGGGGTCCCTATGTCCTCCAGCAGTCTAAGCCTAAAGCAGCAGAACTATAGAGATAGAATGAAGCAGAATGAGGAAAAGGGGTCCCTATGTCCTCCAGCAGTCTAAGCCTAAAGCAGCAGAACTATAGAAATAGTTCAGGATCTATATCAACATATCTCTCTGTATCTCCCCCCATATATATCTATATACATAGATATTCATCTGTCGCATCCTCTCTCTCTGTATATATATATATACACATAGGGAATAAATAAAATATTATTTTGAACCATATGATTACTTATTTAATGAGTATTTTGTGTTTCATAATAATTGAAAAGTCACTCTGCATTTAACCCATCCCCTTGGAGAGCTGCCATTGTCAGACTTAACAGTCCAGGTTCGGTAAACCAGTAGAATCCAGGAATCCGTCCAGAACAGATTAAAGAGAAGACAGGACCAAGTGTTAAAGAAAAATGATTATTTTAGTTTTTAAAACAGTTAATCTTATGGCGTGTGTAAAAGGTATGTTGAACACTTTCATTTTGACTTTCATTTACTATCTGTGTGAATATCAGAATCAAATTGAAATTGTTTGAATGAAAATGTTTTGTTTACTATTAGAAAATTGCTCAGGATATAGGTTTAATGGGGTAATTGAATATGTTAGATTGAATATTATGTTTTATATGTGAGAAAAAGGAATTGTATTTTATGTTCTGTTGATTCTATGTGGTTTAAGGCAGGATTCAATCTTTTGGGGTGGAATGGTGCAAAAGAGCAAGATTGAGCTGTGAAGATAACCTTTCCCTGAACCAAAATACTGAATTTAAGTTTGTTCTTGAGATTTATGGCAGGAAAGGGGCCCTCAACATTCCACATCGATTCTGTTAAACTTTATCTCATGACAGCCAGATGACCTTAGAATCTAGTGGGGGGCCCGGCCGTAAATTAGTTTTTCTGAGTGTCCAAAGTAGCTTCCAATTGGTCAAGCTGGACGACCTTATACTAAAGGGAAGGACTTATCTACATTATAAAATTTTGGGCACAGGGGCAAAAATTCAGATAGC